GTGTTTTGACTGACTTGGAAGATACCTACCACAATAATTTGATTGGTGGGTCTACTCTTTTTCCTTCCCTTCTTCCTACCAGTGTATATAACTTTTATTTTAACATTTTATATGAGTTTATATGTGTGTAGTGTTAAATTGCTTTATGTTACTTCTTTTTCACTGAAAAACTCGCTTCTGGTATTTTTTTCAGGTGTCCAAAGATCTTCCAGAGAAACAAAAAGAAATAGAGATTCTGCTAAAGGATTTCAGCGAACTTGATCACCAACTAAATCAGGTGATATTGTGGGTAACGCCTGTCAAGAACCAGCTGGAGCTTTATAACCAAGTGGGTCAGCCAGGAGCTTTTGATATTAAGGTAAATTTTCTTCCCTTATAAAAAAGCATCAGGATATTTAGTGGTCAAAAATTCAGTTGCAGTATTAGCTGTATAGTTTGTATTAACAATATAGCTTTGAGACAGAAGTCAGCAATAGTCTCCAGAAGTTCAAAGTTCTATGAATTAAGGAAAACTTTTATTCTTTTCCATTAGATGGTCTCTAGTGATAGGGCAGTTTAGAACCAATGGTTCCAAGGTGAAATATAAATATAATCTATTATTTTTGCCATATCATATACATCACACAATAACCCCAAAAGCTGATACATCAAATTTTAATACAAACTGAACTAAAATTCAGAGTATCGGTGTTGGACCATTTAAGCTATTTCATTCGAGTTAATATGAGTACATGAAAATCAGAAAAGTTAGGGCCATATCATGATTCTCATATTGCAAGGAAAGATATCTAACTGCACAGGTAACATTCCAGTAACCAATAAAGCTGATTGTCTAGTAATTGTGAGCAAAATATTTGTAATCTGATCCTTGATATGTATTTAGGGATTAAAAAAATGCCTGTATATGGGTTGGGTGAAGCCAGAGAAATTAAGGATGAAAAATACTGATTAGAATTAACTGGCCTGCCGAGTGTATACTTTAGACTTCTTGGCCTTGCATTTTGTCTATGCATATATGAGCTTATCTTCACATAAATTAGGAAAAATTTAATGTACAATAGTTTATTGAAATCCATGAAATTTCTTTGGTTTATAGCAACTGAGCATCTTGTTCACCTAGATAAAGATTAAACTGAAGACACTGAGTTTTGTAATGATTTTGAAGATGCAATTTTCAATGAAAAAAAAGACTGTAAACATTTAAAACTTTTCTTGCCTTGCGTGCAATAATACCTTGCATGCAATAATACCTGCTTCTGAAGATGTGTGGGTTTTGCTGAGCATGTTTATTAAATTCACTTTAACTTAGTTTCTTTTAAGGAATTGTTTTAATGCCAAAACACTTTTTGTGTCATACAATCACATTATATAAAACAGTGAATCTCAAGTCCTGTTGCAGTCCTGTAATTGACAGAATGAGTTCAGCAATGGCATTCGTTCCCCTTTTAAAAGATAAAATTAGTATAGCTCTTTGCAAATGTCTGTATATACACTGAATGAGTGATGGAATTTTTCTTTCAAGAGAATTATCTATCTTTATTTCCTGTATTTTAACAAAAATTTTTAGAGGATTAATCCATTTTTTCTTATATTTTTCCATTCTGTTTCCTTTATTTCTGGAATGATCTCACCATTAAAGTTTATATAAAAATAAAAGCAGGGTTAAACTGCTTCAAATTATAAGAGTACTCCTTTTCATATTGCTTGTGAAAGAAGTGTTCTGCTTGGCTCTTTCAGTCCTCTTATGGTGATGTGACAGGAATATTTCTGAAAAACTGTTGAAAGAATAGAAAAATTTAAAAAAAAATCTGTGGCCCTGAAGTGGTGGCATGAAATCATATATGTCTAGAGAGATGGGGGAACAATGAAGAGCTCCAAAGAAAGGCAAATAAACTTTCTCTCTGTGAAAGACCCTACCGTATTTCTTTCAGGGATAAATTTAGATCACTTAGATTTGAAGCTTGACCAATTTTGATTGTAGATGAAACAGATAGTTGTTTATACTATTGTGAGGGCTGTAAGCATATGAAGTGTGCTAGCTTTTATCTGCATGTTATCTCTCTGGATTGCCTTTAAAAGACATAGTCAACATTTTAAGATGTTAAACCTGATAGTTTACCAGGACTGTAATTTTCTTTGAGGAGAAAATCTCTTACATTAAAGACTCTGTATTAAATATCTCTGAAGGTAAATGGGATTCTTATAAACTTTTTAATGTTAAGAATAAGCATAATAAGAGTTTTGAGGCTGTTAATCATGACAAAACACACAGCAAAAATGAGTAGATATAATTCAGGAAAGCAGCCTATTTGTGACAATATTCAATTTTATACTCCATTTCAAACGTATGTTTCAGACCCATGCTAACATGCTATCCTACATTGGGTCAAGCATATGCATACACATGCTCTCGAATCATTGTTGACATGATTATGTTTATACGTATTTTTAAATTACTATCCTGTATAGCTAATGCTGCCTTTAAACAAGTAAGGACATCTGCATGATTACCTATGGAAGGGATGTATTCAACAGTGTCTTTTGCTCTAGTGTTCCCAAGTACTGTATAAATATTCAGCATTTGTTCTGCCACCATTTTAATTCCTTCACCAATATCCAGAGAACATTGAAGTATCTTCTATAGGATTTAATAACTCCTTTTTTTCAGAAACAAGCATGACTCTGATGATCACCTAGTAGAACCAAAAGGTTATTGTTAATATTCTTAGAAAAGAGACAGGATGAGAAATTTTACAAATAGTCTTTTTGGATATTGTAAAACCTGGGAGGTACGAAGAAGAGGTTTAAAACTGACAATCAAACCTGCGAATATAGCACTTGAGTGAAATACACTAGGCTCATGTAAGTCCTCAGGAAAACCAGACTATTTTTCTTATAGGATTTGACATAATGGCTTACAAATTTTAATTTCAATTGGGACATTGTCTTTTATGAAATTTCTGTCATTATGTCCTTCATACTATTACTAAGCCTGCAAGGTGATGTTCTTCTCCTGTCTCTTCAGCCATTAAGTCCTCTCCTGTTTCTTTTGGTTTTTTTACTTATTTATTTAGGAAAAGAGTTCCAAAACTAACATGAGTGGCAAAGATCTGGATACAGGTTTTTAAGTACTATAAGGATATTCACTTCTAAAAGCCACAAAATATTGAGTGTTAGAAATTTTCTGTCCTCAGAAGCAGGTGGAAATCAGTGATGAGAAGAACAGGCGGGGTGGGACAGGTAGGAGAGAAAGAGGATGGGAATATGTGTTTGTTTTAAATGAATGCATAGGGTGTCTTTAATGAGTTAGCAATCTTATATTAAAATATTATGCCTGTTTTAAAGCAAGTTCCTTGCAGTTTTACTTACCTGTAGCAAATTTCAGTTACAAAAATGTGTGGTAGCTGAAATTAAAACTTGATACACTAATCAAAGTCATCTAAAAGACTAATTAGAATTATTCTTACAAAATTCTCTAAAATACAGTGATTTATTTCTCTCAAAACTGTAGTAACCTTTACTTTTGGCATGCAGCTGTGATCTGATAACTAACATCACAGTTTTCTCCATAAATCAAGAGATATATTAAGTGCATGTCCTTATCAGATAATCTGATTTAACCTTTTAAATAATATTGAACTATATAATACATGCATAATAAATACATAAAGAAGAATATCTGTGAATTTCACTTGTACAATCATACTGATAAGTTTCTGTGAATTAATCCTTATTTAAAAGCTCATACATTTTTCCCACTTGGGCAAAAATCAACTATTAAAAATAGGTTAGAAGTCCCTTAATTTACACTTACCTAGAAGAAAGATGAAATAAAAGCACCAGCAGTGTTAGCCTTTAATGGTGGCACAAAAGCAATTCTATGAGAGCAGCAAAGGTGCAACCAAAGGAGAAATTATTACATATTGTTACAAAGAGCTTCACAGTACATTATGACTTTTAAGACCCAAATACATAATTGGGCTTGGTGACAGGCAGCAAGATTAAAATTCCTCCTATCGCTCTTAAGATTACATCTACATCAGTAAATAAAAAGTGGCCAGGATGATTTCTTGGCCTAGAGGTCAACTGATGCAGCACAGCTTGCGTTCTTGCAGCAACACTCTTACCCCCCAAAGAAGATAGTTGTATCCAGACTGTCTGTTGCTGCATCTGTGGCTCACGCTAACCCCTGACAGTGCCTGGGCACTGTCTCAGACAGTGCGGTTTGGCCTGTGCCGGAAGCAACGCTCCCGGTTTAATGGTGTGGGCCGTCATGCTGCAGAGCTTGAGCACATTCCCTCTCCCTGTGTAGTTCATTACTCCTATCATCATGTAAAAATTCAGGGAAGGATGCAAACTAGTTAAATGAAAGGGAGAAGTTCAGTGTCACTGTCATTGTTCATTTCCTGTGTCATTTGAGTTAGTCATGCCGTTCCCTTCTGCTTTCAGATCATAGCTCTGTGGATCTGTATGATCTCAACCCAGGGTGCTGAATGCGTGCTTCCATGTAACATGAGTTTATGGACATGACAGCACTCACCCTTGGGGCAGTAGGACCACTAATAATGCTAAAATCTTTCATTTAGCAGTTTTTCAGTTCCTGAAGAGTGGTCTCTTATGCCTCTGCCCTCGTACGTATCATTGCAGTGCTGAATCCAGACTGGTACCACCATTGATTGTGATTGTGTCCCACCAATGCTCTGCAGCCTACCTGCCTCCTGGATTTCAAAATCCCAAGTGGTGTGTTGTCCTTGCATTAGCAAAGGATGACATAGAGCATGTTCTTGCCCAACATGATATAATCACTTATTTAAGAAAAGGCTCTCTGTCTGTTCCCTCACATTTATTAACCCTTTATTAGAGAGGCATTTGCAGGTGAATAATTACATAGCATCATATTGTTTCCAGACACTTAATACCAGCTGTTTCCTAGACTTGTACCCTGAGTTTAGTACAAAAGTAAATAGTGGAACAGGCTCCTTTCTACTTCACTGTAATGCAATTAAGAAACAGGAGGTGAGAAGATGCAGACAAAGAGATGGGACAAATCCAGCATGTTCCTTGGTCACCCGAGTGGAGCAGGACCTTGTGGTGACCAAGGAACATGCTGGGGCATTTAGTAGTTCTATGATCTCTGGAATGCTTTATATTTCTTAGCAGTTTATTCTTTCTTTGTCAATAAAAATCCACAGCTAAAGATATGCATTTTGTAACTCCTGAGCATTTGAATTTAATGGTTTTGCTGGTCATATTGCCACAGTCCTTAGTCACATAAGTAAACCTGAATCCTAGGAAGTGATAGCTGCTTTTCCACTGGTAATGCAACCATAGCCTCTCAGTGCAAAGCTGAGGCCCTGC